AGACCTATTGACATAAATTCATGAAATAGTAGTTCAGTGAAATTTTGAATGTGAGTCAACAAACGAGATCACATGGCCTTTCATGCATGACCCGTCTCGTAAGGGTTAACCCATTCCCTGTTTTAGGTCATTTAACAGTTTTAATGGATAAGCATATTTGACTACTTACCCAGCTAGGTATGAGTGAAGCATATCCTTCTAGTATTATTGAAAGAGAGTGGAGTTAAGAGTTTTAGCAACTAAAAATCCTAAATTTAAATTTTCTCTTGAGTGAAAGTAACTTAAAATATCATCCTTCACATGAGCTTTGAGTGTTACATGTGATGCTCATATAAAGCTCTCTTCTAATCTTATATGTTGAACCTAAACAGCCAGTTGCACTTGCCATGTCATGAGCATCAGCTGCATAACAAGTAATACAAATACACATATAATACTCAGGTGCTTAAGCATTATATCCTGTGAATAACACAATGCACAGGACAGGGATAAGGTTAAGGTATATTGTGCAAATACTCACTCATTTACTAGTTGCTATTAATTTGCCTAGGATATATTTTAAATTATTTTTATGCTTTATAATCACTACTTTAAAGTGATTAATATTTTACAAATCCCATGTTAAATTTATGTGAAAATCATTAAAGAATTAAGTGAGTGACTGCAGTTCATAAAGTGGTATTATGTGTATGTATATATATCTTAACTGTATGTATCATGCTTCAGGATTATCACTGGTGGTGGAGGTCATTCCTTGTGTCTGGGGGATCAGCAGTTTATGTATTTGCCTATGCTGTCTTTTACTTCTGGACCAAAGTATGTTTGTTTTTTTTCATTTTCTTTCTTTCATGTTTCTTACTACCTTATTTTGTGAGTTTCAGTATTAGTATTTTTGATAAGAAAACTGTCAACTTAGCCATGATAAATCAGGTATTGTAAAAAAGTATAGTACAAACAAATCAGTTTTATTTATAGAGAAACTAGTACTATAGTTAACATTACCTTTGTTCTAAATATCTAAATTCCTGAAAACTACAATGTGGAACATCACTAAACTCGCATAACAAAAATTAATTATAACTATTTAATGCCTGCCCTTTTTAAACCATGATTTCAGAAATGTTACTTCCACCGTTTCCTAACTTTAACCTTTAATACCCAGCTTCCAAGATTCTTGGCAGCTAACATTGCTTCCAAAACATGCTCCACTCACATTATAGCTATTACTCCCTGCCAGGGTTTCTTCCTTTGCCCATATAAGCATTGGTCTGATTTTTTCTCACTTGCTCCAGTCTTTTATACCCCACTTAATTGTCCTTGACACTATTTGTCTTGTGACTTCTCCACCTAAGTCAGTGCACCCTCTATCCTGGTACTGTATATAAGCACCTCATTGAGATAATGTTTTCACTTTTTCTTCACAAGGCATTCAGGAATGGTTTCTCTATACTGCGACTGTTAGAGACACTTAGAGCAATTTTTGCATCACCTAGTTGGTTTTCGTAAAAACAAAAAAATTTTTTAGTTCGGCAAGCTGATATTCGACATGAATTTTTGGATTATTATTTCCAGCACAGAGGCAAATCATGTCGCTCCTATCCCACCTCAGATATCTAGCATTGCTCAATAATCTGGGAAGGGGTCACTCTCGGTTGAAACTGTCAGTGATCTTATTTGTAGTAAGAAGGAGACATATGTTCGGTTCAGTGGTGTTCCTCCAGGGGAATCTGAGGTTGCAGTTGAGGGGGATCCTGGACATTCCGGAAAAAATTTATATTCGCTTTTTCCTGCACCTTTGGCCTGGCATGGCTAGGGTGCTTGACTCGCAAGCTGAGGTTCTTGGGTTCAAATCCCCATCCCACCAAATATTTCTTTCAGCTGTGGGGGTGTTATTATGCGATGGTTATTCCCACTATTCGTTAGTAATAGTGAGAACCCAAGAAATGGCGGTCGGTGATGATGACTAGCTGCCTTCCTTGTAGTCTTTCACTTCTAAATTAGGGATGGCTAGTACAGATAGCCCTCGTGTAGCTTTGTGCAAAATTGAAACCAACTCTTGCACCTTCTTTCATTCCATTTGCTTCTCAGGAGGCCACTTTAGGATAAGCATCCTCATGCTGTTTTTCTTCTGTTGGTGGCCTGGCATGGGCAAGTGGTTATGGCACTTGACTCGCAATTTGAGAGTCACAGGTTTGAATTCCCGTCCCACCAAATATGCTCGCCCTTTCAGCCATGAGGCATTATAAAGTGACAGTCAATCCCACTATTCGTTGGTAAAATAGTAACCCAAGAATTGGCAGTGGGTGGTGATGACTAGCTGCCTTCCCTCTAGTCTTTCACTGCTAAATTAAGGATGGCTAATGCAGATAGCCCTCATGTAGCTTTGCAAAGAGATTCAAAACAAACCAAACCAATCTACATCGAGTATGTGATGTTTTGGGTCTTTCCCCAGTTGCTTTTGAGCCTGCACCTTAATTGATGGCTGAAAGGTCTGGGAGCAAATTACTAGTTTTCTCTCCATCCACTGACATTGTGGTTCATACAGAGAGGTTTACTGCTCAGTTATGTGAAGGGACAGCTATACCTTTTCTGCCACAGTTGTTGGAACTGTGCCAGGTGGAAGCATGTTCCAGTTCACAAAGAATACATCTGCTCCTAAAAATTAGGGTTTCTAGAGTGTCTGTAGTTAACCAGAATAGATCAATATCCTCTGGTGTGACAGCAGTAAGTTTACAGACTTACAACTCTAAAGTCCTTCGTGCTGTTTTTTTAACACTAAACTTTCTTGGAAGACTCAAGATCACAAAGTCCACTGATAATGAGCTGGAACCTATGTTAGCGTGCACATTCATTTGATTGCCGGCTTCTACATTCATTCATATTTTTGTTGGCATCTTGAGATTCATTGACTCCAACAGGGGTTTATAGTTCCACCTCCTACTCAAGTGTCCTGACCCCCAACATCAGTCCCTCAGTCATCGGTACCCAGAATAGATACTATCCATATCCAAGGATTCTACTGCTCAGTCTAAACACCTCCTGCAGCATCAGTGACTATTGTATGCCTTCAGGGTCTCTGGGGTTTCAGATCCGAGAATGTCTGGATGTGTGATAAACCTTAACCATGGTTCTATGGGCACCACAGGTCCATAAGTTTGTATTAGTCATTCAGTTTCCATCTTCAACACATTATCCACTCAACCAGTAAGGTTTCCATCTCCTGCATTTCCTTGGATTTTGGAACTTAGTTTTTGACTTACAAGAGTTTGATTGGTCTGGGGCTGGCGAGAGAGTCTTGCCAGTTCTTCCTGGCTTTTATTCCCATCGGTTTGATGGGCACAAGAAGACAGGAGATTGGTGTCCATCCTTCAATCTTCATCTATATCAATTCCTAGATTTTCCAAGTGACTCAAACCTCACTCCAAGTTGGAATTTTTTACTAGGATTGTGATGTCCAATTTCCATGTCATTGGCTCATATCTGCACATTGCCATAGTGATGGCTTCCCGCCACTATTAGCATTTTTTGTGCATGAGGGTCAGGTACAGGAGTTAAGGGTTTTTACCATGAGCTAGCATCAGCACCATGTAGGCTTTGCCAAATCATATGACCCTTTTCTTATGGATGACTGGTTACTGCTGGCACCAACTTGTTCATTGTCCAAACGTCACACCTGGATTCTACTTTCAGAAACAACCAAGACAGGCTTCATTATCAGAGCTGGAACATCTATTCATGCTCCAATTTAATATGTCATCAGTCTGGATATTTTTTTCATCACATATCTCGACTCCCATCCAGTTCTACACTTTTCATCTCCCACTGCATAGATGTTTCTTTCTCTTTTGGGAATGTAGGCATCACTCAAACCCCTCATGCCTTTGGGATGAGCACACAAGAAATCCCTTCAATGGCCTTTATGTGACCAATGGATCATAAGTATTGATTTACTGGATTCCTCAGTTTCCTTATTCAGGATCGTTCTTTTCGATCTTAAGAGGTTGTTAGATCGGAACAATATTCAGATATGGGTTTCTCTTCTGCCACATCCTCCAGAGATCCATCTCTTCATGAATGCTTCGCTTCAGGGATGGGGTGCATATCTCAACAGTCAGGAATTCCAGGATCTATGCACAGAAGGCAAAGCTTCTCTACATAATGTTTTAGACCTTCTTTCTCTTCAATAGGTGATGTCTCATCGTCTGGACTTATTAAGGGGAAAATTGTCAGGCTTCACTCCAACAATTTCACAATGGTGTCTTGCTTTTCCCATCAAGGAGGCACTTGGTCCAGGGCTCTTTGTTTTCGAACCTTGCATCTCCTTTCTTGGAAACACTCCTATCATATCACCCTACTAGCTTGTCATGTTCCTCAGGTGATGAATGTTGTATCAGGTCCATTGTCTCAACCCAAACAGATTCTCCCATCAGAAGAGATGCTGCATTGCAAGGTTTTTATGGTGGATTGGCTCTTATTTTGAAACACTGATGATTGGTGGGTTAGCCACTCATTGGAACACCCAATTACTAGCAATTTGGTTTCCTGTACTTCACCCTCGGCTTTTGCAATGGATGCATTCCATCAGAAAAGGACATGATTACAACTCTAGACCTTCCCTCCAATTTGTATGTTACCCAAGGTACTAACTATAATTTGTTCCAACCCATTGTCAGGTCCTGTTGATAGCACCAGATTGGCAGTTACACCCTGGTTTCTGCTTGTGCAGTACCTTCAGGAGTGTCCACCTCTTCCTCTTTGGCCATCTCTGTGGAGGCAGCCTTGATCTGACATGGTACACTTGACTATCCAGAAGCTCATGCTTCAGGCATGGAGGTTATGCAGTCCTTCGTATGGCATTGGGGTTTAAATTTTAAGATTGCCATGTATTTGTCTCAGTCTTTGCTTAGTCCCACAATAGACATTATCAACAAAAATGGCACATGTATCGGCAGTGGTATATTGAGAAGAAGTTGAACCCACATTGTTCAGTAGTACCAGCCATAACTCACTTTTTGACCTGGTTCTTTGGCAAGGGCTTTCCATCTTCCACAGCCTTCCTGTATAAGGTGGCCTTATCGACTACCATTCAAAACTCAAGACAAAAAGTATTTGAGTCCCCAGTACTCTCTGACTTCTTCAAGTCGTTTTGGATCCTTTGTCCCAAACAACTGTATATTAACGTGGCATTACAGGCCATTTCTCAACACCCATTTAAGACCTTAGCCTGATGTACCATATATCATCTTTCCCTGAAGGTTTATTTTTGTTGCTGCTAACCCACAGTTGTTGCCAGTCAGAGCGGTTTGTGCTGATTGTGCACTGAACACTTTATCATTCTACCTACATCCTCAGACCGGTTCTTCTTCCATAAGACCCTGTCAGCCAGGGAATGGGATAAATTCTTTTCACCAGTTCATCTGGTTACTTTTTTTTTCGCTTCTATAACTGATCGGATTTCATTCATTTGTTATGTCCAGTGAGGGTCTTGAAGATTTTGTTGTTTGCATTAATGCCTTTAGAGATGCTAGACAGCTTTTTATTCATTGAGATCATTCAGTTTCCCAGGTTTTATATCCAGTTACATTGTGGGTACAAAATGCACTCAAAAAACGTTCAAATTCTAGTTTGCAGAGATTGCCCAGCTTAAATCATTTCAGTAATTATAACACCAACACGCTGGAAAATTTAAAGATTCCTACGACACATGTCCAACCTCTCTTCAACAAAAACACTTCTACTACCACCAATCATAAAAGCATTCCCCTTACACTTACGTATCACACATTCAACACACAACTAACTCATATATTGCTTAA